TCGAAGCACAAAGTTTCCTTCTTTCTGTTTAACGACTAAATTTGTTGAAGATTAGATTTAGATACGTCTTCTTTACCCTTTTTCCTGTACTAGAAATTTCCCAAAGGGCTGTAGGATTTCGTTGTATTGGAGATGAACGCGTGACAGATGGCATGGTTGCAATAGTCTAGCTCTTTTTATACTCACTCTTGGGAGCTAAACTTGATAAGCTGCAATTGCGCATATTATTAATTCTTTCTGATCTACTCGGCTGACTTCTGCTTGTGGTGCCTCGATAGTTTATGCGGTGTCTGCACACCGATTTCTCGCAGTGCAACGCATCGCATCCATAACTGTGCCACAGTCCAGCGGACAGTTCGTCCGCCCACAACCGCTGATGCCGCATCCGAGTGTGTTGCCAAATCGCAGTTGCTGTCGCCGTCGCCGTCGCCGTCGCTGTCCACATCGAATGTCGCATCGTCGTCCTTTTGCTTGTGCTCGTCGTGCTCTGTGCCTTTGACGCTTGACATTGTTGGCATTCGATATTGGCTGTAATTAGCTTTAATTGAAATTGCTCCTCCAGCTTCGTGATTTGGATTTTAATGTGCCAAATGCGTGCGTGTGTGTGTGTGTGTCTGTGTGTTTTGCGTGTACTCGTCTGTCTGTCCGAGTGAGTGTGTGTGTGTGTTTGTGTGTGATTTTGTCAAAGTTAATTTATGGCTAACTCTATAGCGACACCCTCTACGTCACCATCCAGCTAATGTTCCTCCTCCTTCGTTTTTCCTCCATATTCTGTTTGCCTCATTTGCTTTGATTTCCCTTAAATTTTTTAATGCCTGCTTTCGAAATATATTGTGAGTATATGGGGTCTCTATGGATGTTTTTCATGTGGCTTCTTTTCGGAAAAAAAATACCAAAAATTTTTTATATTTTATTATATTTTCTGGGCATAAATTCTTTATACTGGAAGATCTATATATAAAAGTTCCCATATCAAGACATGGAAAAAATATTACATTTTAAAATAAACTTAGCTTAGTTTTATAAACTGCACCTACGCATTCTTCGGTCAGCTACATCCATTGGGTTTATTTGTTGTTCGGTTTTTGATTTTCGTGAATTTGGTTTGCTTTGGTAGATTGATTGAAACGATTGAAGAAAACCCAATTAAATAAATGCAGGCAAAGCTTTAGTTAACACCAGTCCTATTTGCACAGTTCCGCTAGAGTGCCGTGTAAAAATTAATTTTATGTGCGAAAAGGTTTGCATTTTACGCAGTTTAATTTGAGTTCCAAACGATATTGATATTTCACTTAAAACATTTTCCGTATTTATGCAAATAATTTTAAATGCGAATTTTGATATGCAGCTACGGATGTGGTGACGCGACGCACAGCAAATATTTCATATGACCACGGGTACGAACTGGGAAACCCGAACTCGATTTCAAGAAAGATAATAAATTCATTTTATATTTCTTTTTTTTTTCAATTTTCAATCAGTTGATGCAAATTAAAGAGTGAAAAATTGTTTCGCAGTACGCTTAAATTGTTAATGTGATAAAAGGCTATTAATTACTTTCAATTAAGCAGAGCCAAATGAAAATTTTTTTTATATGTAAAGGCATTTTTACAGATAAGATTTCGTTCAGCTGCAGGAGCTGTAGAGAAATTCTTTCATATGTAATGAGGTTGATAGTTCGGTAATTGATTTCTTCGAATATAAATTAAGTCTTATTAGATATCTTAAAGTCGTTTAATAGGGTGCTGATGAATTTTATTTGCAGGAATATAAGCGGATATTAAATTAATATTTCGAGTTAAGATCCAGAATTAAAACTCAAGATAAGGAGGATTGATGTCGAAACTAAAATTGCGCAGAGATCATCTAGCTCCATTGAGTGCCTAGCAAAGGTAGTTTCAAGCAGAACATGGATAGAGCACAGATGATATCTATAACGGTTCATGTGACAGTCCTCCAATGGACTCATCTAAGCACAAGCCATCAATATTAGCGGGCAACGTATAATTTATATAAAAATTGCCAAAAAAAAGTAGAACCACTCAAAGCAGATAAAATCTTAGAGATAACTGAGCGGCGCCCAAGCAACGCTGAAACACGTGATGTTCAATTGCCCCCAGCCATGCACTCACATGAAGAAAATTTTTCCATAAATTTATTATTGCCAGAAAAAAACATTGTTGTTAACTTTACATACTAATATATCTAGTGATATATCTGATGATTTGTTTGCCAAGTCTGTGAACGTCATTGCCCAAATGAATATCATTAAATGTTATTTAAATATTGAAGTTCATAAACAATTTGCAGAGTTGAGTTCCTATAGCATTTCCGCTGGCGTCAAGATTTATTTCCTTTATCGTGCCGAACGTGATTTGAAATCGGCATCGCAGATAACAGCAGACAAACCCTGCACCAGACACAATCAAATGAGCATTTGTTTTGTAAACAATTTTATCATTTTGATTAATGCCGACGACCACAGCGCAACATCGTTGATTTTGGGCCAAGTTCACATTTAATATAACCCAAAACTCTTCTAGACACGCTGTCTGTTCAAGGGAATTTTATATATTCAAATTTGAAGCGATATCGCATTTGATTTGCGCTTATCAAGTCTTGATAGGCATTTGTCGTAGAAAGAATTCGGAGCTTCATTGTGACAGCCGAATCAAGGCAAATAAACAATTTCGTTTTATTGGCTCACATAAAAGAAGCTGATATAAAATATCATAATCGGGCGATTGCTCTAGATCTATTCAATGATTAAATGCGATGAATGGAAATTTACCAAAAATTACTTATAATCAATCTGCAGCAGTTTGTGAATCTATTATTGTTGTATTTGTTGTTAAGTGTATTTTAAAGAAAACCATGGGATGCGATATGGATATGATTCTACTGCAATACTTTCTTAGATCTTAAAGATATGCAGTGTGACGTATTTGCAATAACTTTGAATTCCAACTGTAGAAGCTCTTGTTTTTCTCGCTTTGCCACGCTGATAAAGAGCATAGCTATTGGATTTTCTGGACCGACAATAATTGCCAACCGGACACACTCAAATATGTTAATTTGCAATTGGCCACGCCCCAGGCTGAAGAAAGAAGAGAGCGCTCACCTAAAAATATTTCACATAGATGTACAACTTGAAGAGACGCAGTAAAATTTTACATTTATAAATATATATGAATATATGTATATCATTAATATTCATATATTATTTACCTAATATATTTGCCTACTTTTAACATTTAATTTTCATTTAAATTGCTCTTTAATAAATTGCAATCCAAATCAAATATTCACACCCCTTTCACAAGAGTTATAATAAATCAAACAAATAAAAATATTTAACATTTTTGTATTGATTTATTACCTTACTAAACACTTTGTGCTCGCAATAAATAAACTTAAACAGTAACAAAAAAAAACAACAAAAATAACACACATTTTGGAAACATAGTTGTTGATTAACATTCAATCATTGGGAAATGTTTTAGGCTTTGACAGGTTTATTACGTTTTTATTGCGCTCGAAATGCAAATGGCCATAAATATGAATGGAAAATGTGAAACAAAAAATGTGAAGCGCCGCAATAAAAACAACAAAAAAATGTACTTTCGGCTGAAGGCAAAAACTAATTGAGTAAAGTCAACACAGTGTTAAAAAACAATCTAAGCCATCAATCATTTTTATTGCATACTTTTGTGTATCACACGCACACACACACACACATACGCACACGCATCTACATACAAATACACTCGTCAAGTTGTTAACTTGAACTCTGACTACTCGAATTCGCTTCAATGCAGACAATCAGAAATATTTTTGGCTCATAAATGTTATGGCTGAAATACTTCCAAATGGTATGTGTTATAAACTTTTTCATGAATGTAGAGCATGTATAATATACATATATGTATATATATTAATGGTTTCAAAAGTTAGGATTATGTTTTCTTAATTATTTTACTCTTGCTTAAAACTAAAATAATAAAATAAAATTGGTAAAGTCAGCTGGCAAGCATCAATTATAGCTTATAGATTTTATATTCATTCATTTTTTTTTTTTTTTTTTTTTTTTTTTTTTTTTTTTTTTTTTTTTTTTTT